TGCATATTTGGTGAACTATTGGTGTTGCCGCACCGTAAGAAATAACCGCACCGTAAGACACTGCCGCACCTGAACCCGCCTATATATATATATATATATATATATATATATATATATATATATATATATATATATATATATATATATATATATATATATATATATATATATATATATATATAGGGAAGGGATCAGGTGCATTTGTTGCTTCCCGTGCGGTTGTGCGGTGGATTAATGTGCGTGAGTGTTGTGCTTAATACGCCTGAGATTTGTACTTAATGTGCGTCATGTTAATATGCCTAAGTTTTGTACTTGATGTGCCTGAGTATAGTGCTTAATATGCGTTAGATTTATGCTTAATATGCGTGAGTAGTTCTCGAAAATAATACTCCCAAACTCTCCATTCAAAGACCGTGTCCAGATTGGGTTTCCATGGTGGTATTCACTATTCAGGGCACTTACAAAACCATTATATTGTATTTGGGGCGGTTATCATGGTGGTGGTTAAATTGAGATGAAAAGTAAAGTGGGGTTGGAGAGTAGAAAACAATGATTTCGGCCGAGAAATTGGGTGGTGGTGGACGGGAACCTTTCAACTGCACGAAAATATAGATCATCATCATCAGGGAGGGACCAATGGCTACTGGGGATGGGAAGAAGCTGATATCCATATTTTCTGCTGCATTTTACACATTCACGCATATTAAGTACAAATCTCAGGCACATTTGACACAACACTCACGCAAATTGAGTACAAATCTCATGCACATTAATAACCGCACAACCACACGTGAACCTTTCAACCGCACGGGAACCTTTCACTCTCTCTCTCTCTCTCTATATATATATATATATATATATATATATATATATATATATATATATATATATATATATATATATAACTAACACTCATGCTAATTCAACCCTTAAGTACCTACCAATTAAACGTGTATGCATAGATACCAATACTTGAAGTGAATAAACATGAGTAGTTCATAAGAAATAGCATAAGTACAATGCAACCCGATGCTATCATAATGAGTAATTCAAATGATAAAATAATCACAGCATTTCACTTGTATTCATATGAAAATATATGCATCATAGTAATAGGTTTCTCAAATAGATATGAAAATCATTTGTATAGATACTCTCACCCTCAAGAAAATAGGATGTCATAGTAATAGTACTAGAGGATCTCATATCAATCTCACCTGTATCATCATGATTCTAAATCATTCACACCTGTCTCATCATATCATACGGTGGGGAGGTAGGAACTTCACGAATCGTGAAAGATCCTATCCGGGCTCGGCAAATATTGGTCGGCCTAATACTCATCTTGCTCCCAAATCTCATATCAATTTGAAATCATGTATCGTACCTTCAGTGTGCACACTGATCGAGATTTCATGTCTAGCGGGTAGTATCCAACCTTGTAGCCCATGGGTTTTCTACCAATCTACTTCAATCATATATCTGTCCAGGATTTTTCTACCGGACTTTCTAATCATCATATCTTTTTCAAACTCATATTTGTCTAGGATTTTTTTACCCGACTTTCTCATCAACATATCATTTCATCATTTCCGCCGAAGGGACATTGCCCAATCGGGTTCCTCTAAAAATATAGGTTTTCCTCACATTAAAAGAAATAGTGGTGACACACATTTGAAAACTTCCCTTAATATGGGAATTATAATATCATGCATGTTTTCCAAAAAGAGTGTGAATAGATCGACATAGGTTTATATATATAGGTTTTGAAAGAGTTTAAGGTATTAGTATAGACCTTTCATAAATAGATATATAGCACTCACCCAAAAAAAAAAAAATAAATAGATATATAGCTTTAGTATGTAAAATATAGGTTTAGGTATAAAGGATTGGGAAATAATAATTCATGCATTAATATTCATGTAATCATGCCAACTCACTCTTCAATGCAAAGTAATCTCTATAAGTTGAGCATTTAAACAAATCTTTTACCATTTCATGATTTAATGCTAAAGTCAATATATACTCAATATTCATAATCAAATGTACCCAAACATTTAGTAAAATCATAGTTCATGCTTTGATTGAAAATGAATTTTTGGTCACATATCACTTAGGCAATTTCACATAACCAACATCAAAATCTCGAGCCACACGGGCCCACGAGTTTTGGACTGGGTTGGGACCTCAACACTGAGCCAAAAAGGGATCCTGTGTCGAGGCCGTGACCATGCAGGACTAGGTGAAGGGACTAGATAGTCCCGTCACTGAGACCCGCAGCAGTCACAGCACAGAGTGGCAAGGCTCAGAGAGCCCGCCACTTTGAGCCCAACCTTCACGCAGGATTGGCCCGCGGGCTCAGAGAGCACGCCACTTTGAGCCCAACCTTCACGCGGGATTGGCCGGCGGGACTGTCCAGTCCCTTGGCTTGTCCCACTAGGTTGAAATCCCTGGCGAGACAGTGACCTCTGGGATGATGCTTCTCCAACATTTTCATGGCGGAAAACCTATTTTCAGACCACAACACATCTTCAAAACACGTAACAACAACATTATAGCATCAAGACATTATCATCACAACATTATAGGCACAAAATGACACATATATCTCTATTTTCGAACACCACAACATCATTTACAGACACAATATTATTCACAGAAACTAGGGCAAAAATATTAAATTTTGGGTATCCATGAGTTATACCTTGAGATTGCTAACTCCTAGTATGAACCCCTCCTTCAACTATGGCTTCATCCTTCACCTCATATCAACCCCAAGCAAGAACACATAGAACACATATAATACACAAGCACATACATATATTATATAATGAAATAGGTAAGGAAGAAGAAGATGAAAGGATGAAATGAATGAAGAAGGTGAAGAAGATGGAAATGCTCACTATGTTTTCTTCTTGGTGGTAGTCTTTGCCGATTTTGAGAGGAGAAAACGAGGGAGGGATTGAAGAGATCAGCTAATGGAATAGTGCCTATTTATAGGCTCAAAACCCTAGGTAGCAATGGAGAGGGAGTGAACGGCTAGGGGAGGGCTTTTAGGTCATTTTGCGATTTAAAATTCTAGGTTAAGATTTTGGGTTGAATTGAATCAAGTTTAGGTATAAATGCAACATAAATTTTTAGAAAGAGATTGAGTTCATTTTAAAATTAAATATGGTTAAAACAACTCTATCAAATTCACAAGTTCCTCTCAGATAGATTTTTGAGTCAAAGTTTTGATACACAAATATACCCTTTGATTCAGATTTTTAGAAACATGAATAGATATACATATACTCTATGTTAAGGCATTTTGGAAATAAGAGTTTAAAATAAAAATGTTTAATTCACTTATTAAAATCATCGTAGGAATAAAAATAAATTCAAAGTTTTATTTTAAATTTTGGAAAAACGAAATTTTTTAAAGGAAAATATTTTTGAGTTGTCACAAAATTCTATATGTTTTTAGGTTAATTTTTAATATTTTAATATTAACTATTAAGAGTATTAAATAGTTTATAATTATCAAGTCTTAAAAAATTAAAAAGTTTTTAATAAATAAAAAATAAATAAAAAAATACACGGGCGCATAGGTGCCGATTAAATAAAAAAAATACATGAAACAAGTTTTGTTAGATATTTGATCCCTTGAAGTTGAAGATTTGCTAGGACTAAATTTCCCCGACCAACATGTCTTGCCCCACCAGACCTCTAATCGGGTTCTTCACAACACCTAGGATTAAGGTTGCTCATTGCACACTGCCCAGTCACATAATTACGCTATTTGATCGCTTCACATGGAAAACTGTTAAATTTTCTACCATTGGATCAAAATTTAGGACCTTTTTGCCGATCTAACCGTCTAATTTTTATTTATTATTTATTTTGTTATCATTACAATTAGTTTTGGTTGGTAAACGAAAATTTTTACGAATTTTAAAAAATGGTCAAAAAATTAATTGAAAACTTGATTTTAAACAATAACTATTTAATACTGTCACTTTCAATTGGTGACCGAAAATAATGAAAAGTATATGGGCAACTTAGTTGGTCTGTAGAATACAAACAAATAGGAAGAAGAGGAAAAACTTATGTATTATCTCTTGTGAGTAAATCTCAATACAAGTACTGTATATATAGTGCCATAAATACAAACAAAGAGACGCATAGAAAAATGAAGAGATACATGGGAAAACAAAGAGACACATGAGAAAACAAAGAGATGGGAAAACAAAGAGACACATGAGAAAACAAAGAGATGGGAAAACAAAGAGACACATGAGAAAACAAAGAGATGGAAAAACAAAGAAACTAAAGATGATTATGACTTGAATGTCTCAACAACCCCACTCAAGTTGGAGCATGCGGATTTGAAATGCCCAACTTGTAAAGAAGAAATTCAAATTGCTTTTGCCCAAGAGCCTTTGTGAAGATATCAGCTAACTACGAATGGTAGGAATGTAGGATTGTAGGAAGGGAAAATCAAACCATATTGAATTGCATCTCGAACAAAATGACAATCCACTTCAATGTGTTTTGTTCGTTCATGAAAGTCTGGATTCTTTGCAATATGAAGAGCCGATTGACTGTCACAAAACAATTTTATAGCTTTGGGATGATGAAACCTCAGACATAACAACAAACACTTTAACCATTTGAGTTCACAAGTAACGGCCACTATAGATTTGTATTCCGCTTCTGGGGGAAGAACGAGAAACAGTATTTTGTTTCTTTGTTTTCCACGAGATTTGGGAATGGCCATGAAACACCAACCAACTAGTAAGAGATCGCCGAGTAGCAGGACATGCAGCCCAATCAGAATCACAACATCCCTGTAGTGTTAGATCACTGTTTGCTCGTAGGAGAATCCATTGACTTGGGGAACCTTTCAAATAACAGACAACTCTTAGAGCTGCCTCCTAGTGCTTATCATGCGGTTCCTGCATGAATTGAGACGACACGTGAATAGAGTATGCGGGATCTGGTCGGGTTACGGCCAATCTTCAGACAAGACGCCGATATGCTGTAGGATTAGAGAAAATTGGGCCACTAGCAAGGCCGAGTTTGTGGTTTTCCTCAATAGGAGCACTAACCGGCTTGGCCCCCAACAATCCTGCTTCAGAAGTAATATCAAGAGTATATTTTCTTTGACACAAAAATAATCCAGAAGCGCTATGAGCAACCTCAATACCAAGAAAGTATATTAGAGAGCTGAGATCTTTCATATGAAAACAATCATTGAGATAAGTTTTAAACGTCTTTAGAGCAGCAGAATCATTCTTAGAAATGATGAGATCATCGACATAAATAAGCACATTTATCTGAACTCCACCCCGAGTGAAGGTAAATAAGGAGTAGTCAGAATAAGATTGTAAGAAACCATATCCTTTCAAGGCCGTGACAAGTTTTTCAAACCAGGACCTTGGTGCCTATTTTAATTCATACAAGGACTTGCACAATCGACACACTAATTTAAGATCGGATGCTTCAAAACCTGGTGGAAGCTTCATATACAGCTCTTCAACGAGATCACCGTGCAGAAAATCATTGTGCACATCCATCTGATGTAGTTCCCAATTTTTAGAGGCTGCAATGACAAGAAATGCACGAACAGTAGTCATTTTGGCAACTGGAGCAAAAGTTTCAGTGTAATCAATGTCTTCTTCCTGATGATTACCAAGAGCCACTGATCTTGATTTGAATCTTTCAATCGACTCAATGACTCCCAAGAGCCTTTTTCCCAAGTGGGAGATGCTCAAGAGTCCAAGTTTGATTGTCTTCTAGGGCTCGAATTTCATTTTTCATAGATTCTTTCCAGTCACTATGTGTCATTGCCTCCTTAAAAGATTTTGGCTCTTTTTTAGAAAGAATAGTTGTCAGAAAAGTTCTGTATCCCAGAGAAAAATTGTCACAATTTATGTAATGAACTAAAGGATAGGGAGTACCTGAGGGAGACTGTGGAGACAGTGTGACAGAGGATGGACTTATAGCAACAGTAGAATTAATAACATAGTCACGCAACCACACTAAAGGAACTTTATTTCTCATACCCTGACCCATCTCAACATTCTGATCCTGGTGATTTGGAACAAGATTACTAATGTGTTGTTCAGGTTGTGAGCTGAACTCGGGTATGGAGTTTGACTTTGGTTGAGAGGTTGGCTCGGGTGTGGAGCTTGGCTCAGGTTGAGGGTTTGGCTCGTTTGTGGAGTTGGGCTCGGCGTCTTCAACAATTACAGAAAAATCTTCGTGAACAAATTCTCCATGAGGATTGGTAGTCGTATTTGTGAGGGTAAATGAAAAAACATCCTCAAAAGATTTTACATCGCGGGAAACAAAACAATCTTTAGTGTCAAGATCAAACAACTTCCAACCCCTTTTCCCAAATGGATATCCCACAAAGATGCATTTTTTTACTCTTGCTAGCAAATTATCGCTTTTTTGCTTTTTGATTGTGAGCAAAGAAGAGACACCCAAAAACACGAATTGTGTTGTAAGATGGAGGACTACTAAAAAGAATTTCATAGAGAGTTTTGTTATAAAGCAACGGTGTTGGTGTTCGATTTATCAGATGTGTGGCCGCAAGAACACATTCACCTCAAAAATAAATTGGCAAATTGGCTTGGAATCTCAAAGCTCTCGCTACATTGAGAATATGTTTATGTTTCCGCTCAACCCTACCATTTTGTTGAGGAGTTCCCACACAGGAAGTTTGAAATAGAATTCCAGTAGCAGAAAAAAAATCACGCAAGCAATTGAATTCAGTACTGTTGCCACTCTAAACTACTTTGATTGATTGAGAGAATTGTCTATCAATCATAGTCACAAGACACAAAAACATTTTGAGAACCTCAATTTTATCCATCAACAAAAAAATCCAAATTGCTCGCGAATAATCATCTATAATAGTCAAGAAATAACGCGCACCACAAGAGGATTGATGTTTGTAAGGACCCCACAAATCACAATGTATTTTCTCAAATATTTGAGATGCTCTATCATTACTCAAAGGAAACTTATCTCTAGGTTGCTTATCACGAAAGCAAACCTCACAAACTTTATTAAAACTTCCCACAACATTGCCAACAGACGGAAGAAGGTTTACCACTTTTTCAGATGGATGACCCATTCGTTGATGCCAAAGATTGACTGAAGTTGTCACACCATTTACTGTAAGATGTTGCACTGAATCGATTCCCTATCACGTTTCGTTCATAGAATGAATTTTTGGGTAATAGGAATGCTATTCCATAAGGAATGGAATAGGCAAGGAATAGAATATGAATTGTATTCTATTGTTTTGTTCGCAAAAGGAATAGACTTTAGGAATTATATTACAGTGTTTGGTTGGTTTAAGGAATAGAAATGAAATATGTTTTAAAAGACATAAATACCCTTATAAAAATATGTGGTGGCGGTGGTGGGGTAATGGTGGCGGCAACGGTGGTGGTGGCGGCAGTGGCAGCAGTGGTGGTGGCGGCAGTGGCGGCAGTGGCGGTGATGGTGGTGGTGGTGGTGAAATAGGAAATAAATTTAATTAGTTGTAAAATAAGAAATATATAAATGTGTGTGTGTGTGTATCCTTGTGCGTAGTAAGTAAAGGGGGTCTAGCCTCTGTGATTTTGCTGAATTACCATAATTTACATCCTCCCAGATGATTTTTCGGGCCGGAGTAATCCTCAAGTAGTACATTCCTATAAAATTGAACCCATCATCCAACAATTGTTATACTATGGACCAAGGTTCATATTGCATTGTAAATCTTTGTCTAAAAATTATGTGTCTGCAGTTAATATATTCTGTATCTGCAGTTAATCGTTTTCGTACATGTAAACAAATTGAAGGCAGATCACATGATAATTATAGATACATAACATTGATGGGGATAATTCTCCAGGCGTCGTGCCCATTTGATGGTCGGTCTCGGGCCCTTAGTGCGGGCCGAACTCGATTAGACCACTTTCGGCCTCTTTGGTGTGCCTTCCCGACCTCTAATACCCACTAGGCTTTGGCAGAGGATGGATTCGGGAATGGCTCCGCGGCTTCGGGTGAACCAACCTGCATAGGTCGGACCGATCATTTGGTACCTCGTAGCATGGCACACTGCGCCCAGAAATATCATGACACGCGGCCAAGGCCCCTTGGACCCCAGTTGGGGCCTGTGCATGGTGCCCACGTGCTCAGCATGCTACCGGTCTGGAATCTGTCTCCTAGCGACTACTATAAATACGACATTTATTGCTGTCAGGAGTGATTTATCTATTTCAATACTATAGCTATTAGCTCGGAGACCTCTGGTCCACTATCACGTAGACTGGGCTATATTTCTTAAGCCAACAAGCACACCAAACATAGGATCCAAACCCGGAACTGACCTGGGATTGTCGACTGTAGACAATACGCTTTGTATTTACTACATCAAACATGATAATTAGAGAAACATAAATTGTTAACTCCTGGTACAAAATATGTTAATTTCATTCACGTAACATGTTAACCAACATCTTATGTATCTGTAGTTAAACATATTATGTAACAATTTATGTGTTTGTAGTTATCAAGTTATGTGTTTGTAATTACTAATTACCATATTATGTGTCTTCAATTTTTTTTATAGGTACATGAATTGTTAATTGTAGGTATAGAATGTGTTAACTGCAGGCAAAGAATTTGAATGTTATTTTTGGACCAAGGTCCACATAACAAGGTAGACCCTTAGCTTATCCATGGTATAATTTGCCATCATTAACGTGTCGACACGAACACAATAAGGCTAAACACGGATACATGTTAAGGTTAACAGGTTGAAATTCTTAACACGAAAATAATTTGTAAACGAGTTAAATGGGTTTAAACACGGACACGACACGTTAAGTTTAACGGGTTGAAATGCTTAACACGAACACAATTTTTAAACGGGTTGACACGATAGACACATTTTGTTAACAGGTTTCGGCTCGTGTCGACACAATATGACACGAAATCAATTTAAACCCACTAAACTTATTAATATATATTTAAAAAAAAAAAACTAAAATTTGAAGTAAAGTTGGAAGAGGTTTCTAAGTGTCTAGGGTTTTTTAGTTTTTAACTTTCCTTTTATATTAAATAAAAATGAGTTCTTAGGGGGTTATAAACATATTTCTGTAAATGAGTTAACACGATAATATTAACGGGTTAAACATGTTCTTAATATGTTTAATGGATTGACCCATTCAGACATGAAACATAATAAGTCCTTAACGGGTCCACTCGTTAACAACTCGAGACACGTTAAGGCTAAACACTAACCCGTTATTTTCGTGTCCGATTTCATGTCGTGTTAAGAGGTTGTGTCAATAATTGTCAAGTCTACATCCAAGGGGTTGGGAAATGGGTTCCCGACATCCTCCAAAAAATTCATCATTTTTTTAATTTTTTTTTTTTTTATAGTTTTCATTAGGGGTAGACATTTTGGTTTAGGTTATCCGAGCCGAGCATAGCCGAAACTGATTTGAGCGGTTCAATTTTTTTATTATTAAAAATTGATTGGTTCTATATTCTATAAATTGAATGATTTGAGCTCGGTTCAGTTAAAAATTGAACCAACAGTGAACAACACATACTCAAAATGATTTAAATATCATTTTTCACGCAAATTTCTGAACATTAACAACTATTACAATAAGCCAATAAATTACATCACAAACCCTAATCCCATCTCTCTTTACCCAAGTTGTCATTGCAGATTTGCAGGTGGTGTCTAGTAATGGGGTAGCCCCTGTGTAAATTAGTTTGGACTCTCCTAAAAAATAAAAATAAAAAATATAAATCCAGGCCCTTTTTCATTTTTGCTCCGTACTTGAAACTGATGGTACTCTTCCTCTGCCACAGTCAACCACCAAGGCCACCTCCTCTTCACTCCTCTGTCAATGGCCTTTCCTTTTCCTGATCCCTTTCAAAAATCTTGTCTGTACCATTCTAAGATGCCGTTTGGTATTGCTTTCAAAGAGTGCTTGGTTTTCTGATTACTCCTTTCAGTTGGCAATTATTCCTCCGACCTTTGAATCTGCTAACAAACAGTTAATTGAAACTTGATTACTATATAATTGTTGTACATCTGTCGTTTGTGGCTCTAAGAATTCTTCACTGGTTTTGATTTTAATCATCGACAGTACCTGTTTGTACGTATCTTGATTCCTGACCTTCTTTTTATCCTTCATTTCTCTTTAATATATGGCAATAAAAAGTGGGTGTACGTACACTACTGAATTTAAAACTTTACTGATTTTCAAGGAATATATTAAACTGGGGGTTTAGAGTAGACGTTAGGTGATATTCTATTTTAGAGGTCTAACATTGTATATGTTCCTGTGCAATTAGATAGGCTACTCGACAACGGCTTTTTGTTGACTATTACGGATCTGTAGTCTCATCTCTTATTTAAATCCGCAATGTTAGAAATAGGCAGAGATTAATCAGGCTCTGATACCAAATGTTAGAAATACACAAATAATACATGTAATCTAACCTTATAGCGGAAGCATATGATCAAGAATCTCTAGCCATAGTTGAAATCCACGTTGCATTGTTTGAAGAGCAGTAAAGAATTTTAGGATTTTGTCTACCACTTGGTCTCCTG